AAAAAATAATTTCCATAAATTAACCAAAAAAAAAGATTCATCATAAATAAATGAAGTAATAAACAAATTAAAAATGCCCCCACCAAAATAAACTACAGAAATTAACCATTTACAATTGTTATAAATATCTTTTTGCCAAAACAAAACTATTAAATTTGATTGATATAAACAAAATTTTTTATTTAATAAAACACCGTATTAAAATGTTTAAGAAATAAATTTTAAAATAATTTAACGCAAATAAAAAAATAAATGACTTAAGAGTCTTTCAACTGCCAAAAAAAACAATGCACCACTGACCTGTATATATAAATAAAAAGAGAAAAAAAAAAGACAGATGGAGAAGATTGAAAGGAAAATGAAACATTGTCGCCTAACAAGAAAAAATGTTCATTTAAATATTTACACATGCTCTATCTCTGATATTAAGCACTTTATCCTAAATATAGTTCACCTTTAAGAGTATATTTCTTCATATGTATATAATATGATTATTATGAAAATATAGATTTTATATATCATAAATATTTTATTTCATTAAAACTGATTTTTGATAGAATGATTTTTTAAAAATATTGTTTTCAAAAATAAATTTATTCATTTATAAATAATAAAAAATTATTAAAAATGAATAAAATTTGGATAAAAATACACACTGATAATGATTTGACTTAAGGAATAGTTGTTATCAGGGTAAATTAAAACAAAACTATCTAAGGAAGAAATTCTGTTTATATACCTGATGTTATCAGAACCATCAACATACATCTAGATGAAAAACACACAAAAAATCTAAAGATATAATCAAATATATATGCCTGAAAAGATAAAAGATGAAGTTTTCCTTTCTTTTCAAAAACTAAGTCCCAGAGATATCCATGGATTCAAGAACTACTGGACAAATTTTTATAAAATTTGGACCATAGATTTCTGGCATGAGAGTGGATGTAATATGCTATATATATATATAAAACTGTCTTTTGTCAGCTTCTTGTTGATTTTCAGACTGTCTAAAATTCCAGCAAAAACTTACAGAAAATGTACATTATATGCTCAACAAACTGCAGAAGTAGACAATCTGAAACTCTAGAAGTAAGGAAGAGGAGATTCAGAATGAATACTTGACAGAATGCAGCAATCAGGCAATTGGATATATTATACTCAAAATAAACATTACTATAATGGTATACTTTTTTATTATTGATATTTGTTTTAATACTTCAATAAATTATATAAATTGATATGCATATGTTTATAGTTTTCCTCAATTTTTTATTTAGTTATATATGTGATGATTGCTTCATTTCCAGATCAAAAATATAGAGATCACAGACCAGAAGGTTCTATGCAGCCATGATGATATTGGCCTGGATGAAGCAACTCTTTTTTTTCTACATGAAAATTGGTAATTCTTTTCTATTGCGTTACTTGGGTGGATATAGCTGTATCACCTACATGAAAGTTAATCCATTTATTATATGTTCAATACTATCTAAAACCAATATCACGCAAAAAACATAGTATAATTTAGACAGCTTTTTTCCAAACCCACTCAACAATGGGCATTTCTGCTAGTTTTATAAATATGCCCAAATAGAATTGGTTGTCCATTTTCAATTATTCTGTACTTGTCCAAACACAGTGTTATTCAGTTCATCTAGAAATATCAAAGTAAAAATAAATAATAGTTAAAGAAAGAAATAATAATTCAAATACACCAGGTGTGTTATCAATTAAGCTACTTGAAAAGGACAACAAGGGTAGCTGTGGGTGGGAAATAGATGGTTAAGTCTAGGCATTGATAGGTGCTAACAGAGTTAAAGATTTTGGCCAAGATTCAATCAGGACCCGAGCAAACTTGTGCCGAGAAGGGCTGAACAATTCAGAGAAACCTCCATGTGATCCCCATGATCATAGTGTAAAAAGAATATGATCAAGGGTGGGAAATAGATGCTTTGAACAAATCAAAAGCATTAGAAAGGGTTGAATATTGGTACCTGGTTGCTGTCCTGCTGGCTGCCAAATTTGAATCTGAATTCTGAGAAACCTGGATTATCCACCTGTATCCCTCCCCCAGAGCTAAAAGAATGGTACAGGTGAACGGGAAAATCGGATGGTTGTTTTCGAATGTTGTCTTGGTCCGTTTAACACGTTTGCCAACTGTCAGCCCTACTTTATGCTTTGGCGTTGGAGCCTCTCATTCCACGGCTGAAGAACAGGGCATGCTGTCTGCAACTCCATGGTTGCAACGTAACTGGTGTGGCTCGAGCCAGGGTTGCTTTGTACACCAATGACATATCCATTTTCGTGTTGTATACAGCAATATTGTGGTGGTACAGAAGGCGTTTGAACAGTGGGCAAAGCTCATGGGGTCCAAGATTAACCACAAGTCTTGTTTTAAAGTTAGGTGCCTGAAAGGGGAGGGTTCTCCTGGGGCCTTTTTGTTGGACTGATGGAACTGTCCACATTCTTGGAGTGTGGTTCAGCCAGTTTGTAGTGTTGATACAGACTTTGTAGTCTCGAAGGACTTGGGGTTAACATGAAGGGTAGGGCCACCACTTAATTCTTCCTATTATCGTTTACCAGTTAGCTATATTTACTCTTCAAAGACCATAGGAAGGCGATCGAGAACTTCTTGTTCACCCACTCAAGGGGTAGTCGCAAGCAGAATGGCCGCAAAAGCCTATGTCCAGTGTCTGTGTCATGGGTGTGGGGGATTGTCACACTTGGTAAGTCATTGATACACCTCGAGTTTGGCTTTCCTATGCTGCATTTTAGGAAGCTATCGAATTTCATCATAAATGTCGGGCAGCCTTGAGGTTTTGTTCGGCGGTCCAGTGACCTTTCACAGCCTAGGAAAGTCTTGTAAATGAATTAGTGAAAGGGGTTGAAGCGGATTCAATCGGATACGCATATTTTAAGGTCTCTCTCAAGTGTCAGTTTGAAAGTTTACTCTCAAATTTGAATACTGTGTAAATGTTGATTTGCATATTTCATAAGAATAGTTTTTCTCACTAGTGTTAGTTTGAATGAGTATCTTTTAAGTGTAATCCTGTGTGAATGCTATTCCACACACTTCACAAGAATAGGTTTTCTCTCCTGTATGTATCAGCATATGTTGATTTAAACTTGGAATCAGTGGAAATAGTCAAACGATAATGGAACGGCTACTTAAAAAATAAAAATTAGACACTGGGAAGAGAACAATCGAATTCTGTAGATTAAAGTGTTCAGTTCAGAATTCCCTGTAGGTTACCCCGATCAACACTTGATGAAGGCTAAAATAAAGGAAAGACGTTTCACTTTGACAGCTGTTTCTACTTTGTGGCAAAAAACCAAATCCTTTCTTATTGGCTATGCTTTCACATCTCCTTTATAATTTCTCCCATCTTCATGCAAGATAAATAAAGGAAAGACATTTCACTTTGACAGCTGTTTCTACTTTGTGGCAAAAGACCATAATATTTATTATTATGTGTTTCACATCTTTATAACTCTACCCTTCTTCCATATATGAAATATTGTTGTGTGAATATACACATATATATATATATATATATATATATATATATATATATATATTGACAGAAGATAATGATTAATGTTGCATTTAAATTTTTGAAGATAGTAGTTGGCAGGAAAGGAAGAAGTGGGAATAGAGTTTCACGGGCAAGAAATGTGAGAGAAGAATCTATCGGTTTAGAACTTACCGTTCCATCTATCAATTACAATAGTAAAATTAGGATCTTGTTCAGTGCTTAAATTCATGAAGTCAAATAAGAAAACTCATCAGAACAATTCCCATGAATAATAGTCACAGAAAAGGCATGGGGAAGCTATGTTATGTTGGTGAGAAATCGATTCAATCTGAAAGGACAAGTCAGGAGTGATAACATCACAGCTTCATCTTTGGAGCAATTTTGTCAAGAGTCTCTCTAGTTACATAGCAGAAGCACCAGACCAGATATGGCAACAATATCCCATGCACAGATGACTGGTAGATTTATAAATGTGTAAGATAGATTCTGGCAAGAAAAGATTGTCTCGCACAGTGAACAAACTATTCGAGCAACATAAATGGATATGTATTTATATGTGCAATATTATAGAAACTATTTCACTTGTTGGATATTATGGCATTTGAGTGCTTCCTTACTTGGATATTATGGTATGTCGGGGTTTCCTTTTTTTTGTATCGTAGTCTCAAAACAAGGATAATGCTGGCAGTCCATCTTCCAAACACATTCAAAATCACATACAACGGAGCTTGCAAACAATGCATATTTGATACAAAGTAACTTGTTAACCCCAGAAATTTATAGGGTACTGACTTTTTTTTTAATGTCTTTTATAGCACTGGCATGTGCCGGATCTGGTCTCCTGAACTTCTTGTAAATTATCTGACCTAAATCTACCATTTTGTCCCCAGCCCCTCAACCTCCGGTGTCTTCCTTTTTGTGTTGAGGTGTCCACTCTGTCTGAACCGAACTTAGGGGTAACTGGCCATATGCTCCTTGAGTACCTGTAGATTATTTCGACTGGTCAAGTCCTAATCGCTGCCCACACTGTGTTAGTTTTTAGATCTAGTAGCAGGGTGTTGCCCATACGTTCATGGTTGACTGGGGCTGTGAGAGTTGGTGCAAGGAAGTTTAGAATGTGGCAAAATAAAACAAGAAATAATATCTGCAGAAGCCAGACAACAATGGGGGAAATAGTGACGTCTTTTATATAAGAAGATATCACCAGAACAGAGATTACAGGGAGAATAAAAACATTTAACATAAATGAGAAAAGAAAAAGAAAAAAGACACAATGCATCCAGCGAATTCCCAACAGAGAGAGGGTTTGTGTGTGATAAACGCGTATTGAATCACCTGGGGTAGGTTTATGACTTCCAGTCTCATACAGACTTCTCAGAACAGGGGTTAGTCTTCTCTCTCCTCCAAAATTTTCCCGCAAATCTCTTGACTCACCGTGACGATAGTCTCGTGACTCTCTCGATGACAGTCTCTTTCCCCGACTCACTCTTCTGTCTGGCTTGCAGCACTGTGACCTGTGACAGTTGCCTGTGGGTGCTCACGCATATGATGACAATGTGCCGACCAATCGCGGTCTATCCTGTCTCTCTTTTTCGTCTCTGCTTTATTAGCAAAAATCTCGAGTTAACATAAAAAAAGTATCAGCTGATCACTGGCATGCAGCTACCATGTGTGCTAAAAAAAAATCCCTTGACATGTAAACCTATTCTCCAATTATTTACCTTATCTCAATCACGAGTTCTTCTCGTTTAACCAAAATTATACTTTGTGATATCTAAACATTGATTCGACCTTCTAATCAAAACAAATATTGTTAAACAAAACCAAGTATCTTACCCATCCCCATTGTTTACTAGTGACCCAGGTTTAAAACATTGCCTCCTACCCTGAGATCGTGTTTCTCATCGGTAAACACACATCTTAACCAAAATTGTACTTTGGTATATAAACACCATTTCCACTTCCAGTCAATAAAAGTTATATTTGCATGTGTGGGTGCATGTGGGTGTGTGTGAGCATGTGTGTAAGTACTTCTCTCTGTTACAAAATATTTCATTTTGTCCATAAAGAATTCACACTTTTCGTCCATCAGTTTGAATCCAAAGACAGGAATTCTTCTGAAAAGTTGAAAAATATTTTCCTTGTGTTCTTGGTTTTCACTCTTCAGCAAAATATCATCAAGATAGGTAAATGCAAAGTCCACTTCACTCAACATTGTGTCCATTACTAGCCAAAAAATTGATGGAACGTCCTTTATGCTGAAAGGTAAACGATTAAATTTGTATATCCCATGATGTGTATTTATGGTTAGTAATCTTGGACATTAGTCGTCTACTGGAATCTGAAGATACATGTCAATTAGGTCGATTTTGGAAAATATCCGACCCCAGCTAAGTTGCTCAAAAACCTCTCCCGGTCGCAAAAGTGAGTAATGATAACTGTTGGGGACATCGTTTAAGCCCGTGGAAAAATCCGCATAGACACGTATCTGTAGAGGACCAGGCAGGGTGCAAGTTGTTAGGTTAGGAACACGTGCTGTTTATTCCTGCTAGAAGGTCTAACTACAAGAACAATGGCAGACTCAAGTAGAGTCCAACCTAAGATGTAAAGAAAACAAACAAGACCGATATATATATGTCAACAAATATATGTATGAAACAACAAATTTACAAGTGGCAAAGACATTAACATTTGCATTTGTGCGTGAACGTAAAGAGTTTGTAAATTCTGCCAGTTTGATATTTCTCTTTGTTCATTTTTTTTTCAGGCAGAAAACTTTCTAAAACAAAGTAACCATTTGTTTTAATGTTAGGTCATTCGTTTTTCTTTGGTAATATATAGTTTACAAATTTAGTATATTCGACAGCACCTAGTTTCCTTAGCAAAAGTTTTGATATTAATATCGCCGGACTAGTTTGCACAGTCTGTTTGTACAGGTTTTCTCAGAAAGTTAGCTTTCTTTTATTTCATTTGTTTTTAGATTTTAAAAGAGTTAATAGTTGTTGATTAGATATTAAATTGTAAGCAATTATTCGCCTTTTATCACCAATAATGATTTATGTTTGTGAAAAGTAAATGTCGATATAATTTGATTGGTCTCTCCGTAAATGATTGCGAATTACCTCCCTTATCGTTTGTGGATATGTTTTCACAAGGGGACCTATACAGCTAGACACCGCCTCTCTAAAGCCCATGCGTCACTGTAGCAACAACTACGTGGCTAAAGGAGGTAAGCACGTGAAATTCTCTCTCCATCAATTCAAATGATTGTTTTTATTTGTGACACGGTTTATAGAAAAACTGTTTATGTTTTAGTTTAGGGATCTCCACTTTTTTGGCATAAATTTTCGATACCTAAGGTTTTTAAAGCTAAAATGAAATTTCTAAAAAAGTGGCATATCCGAATGAAAAAAAGACCCCAAACTTAATAAAAACATTTTTTTTTTAATTTTTCCTTCCTTTTAGAACATTCTAAATTTTTTGATTTAAAAAAATCTTGTTTCTCTTTGTATCACTGGAACTACTTAACATTTTTTCACTTAAAAAACACATAATTTTGAAATTATTGCAAAAATCAAATAATTGTCTCAATTAAGTGAAACTTTCAGAACTTATTCAAAAATGAATGAAATTGTTTTAGAAATGTTTGTTTATTAGAAAGTCAAGGTAAAAATATTTTTTTTACATCTGTGCCCCCCTCCACTCCTTAATTTTATGAAAACTTTGGACTCTCGAAACTGTGATTATATTTTTTTTCTTTAATTAATTTCTCTTTCTTTTTTCTTTTTTTTTTAATTAATCTTTTTCTGTGAATGTAAAACATCGATTTTTTTGTTCTCTTCGACCTTTAGCCCTGAACTGTAAAAATACAAAACCAAGGCAATAATTTAATTAAAAAAAATCTTTTAATGGTTTTCTGAAGGACATTTTTATCTGATGTTGTTTGCTTGTATTTGGTGCTGAATAGTCTTTTGTCATGGCCACTTTTTCGCTAAAAAAAAGTGGCATATCCTGATGAAAAAAGCTCCAAAACTTAATAAAAACAACGTTTTATCGCGAAAAACTTTAATTATTTTTCGAAATTTTTTATTCCTTTTTAGCACGTTTGAATTTGTGGTTGAAAATCTTCTTTTCTTTTTTTGCTTTCAGGTCAAAGGTCACCTAATATTTAGCATTAGTTTTTTGTAGATAGCCTTTTTCACTTGAAAAACACATTAATATGGAAATTCTTGCAAAAATCAAATAATTTTCGGAATTTAATGAAACTTTCAGAACTTATTCCAAAATGAAGGAATTTATTTTAGAAATGTTTTTCGTTTATATAGTCATCGTAAAAATACGTCTGATACCCCCCTCCATCTTACTTAATTTTAAACTTTAAAACTAGAACAGTTGCTCCTATTTTTATTTTTTTAATTAAATAAAGAAGACTTTGAGGAATATGAATAATAAATTTCGTGTAAAATTTTGTTTGACTCACAAGAAACCCAATTTCAGCTCTGAATTTAAAATACAAAAAATGCAAAAAAAAAACTAAGACATTGTTTTATGAAAACAGCTTTTAGTGGATTTTATCAATAATATATATTAAAGACTTTTTTGTCTGAAGTCAAAATTTTTTTTCGAAAAATAATTTTTTACGAGAATTGTTTTCTTTGTTTTTCAATTGTAAATAAAAAAGTATTGATAAATATTTCATATATAAAATGGTTTTTGTATTGCTCATTAAAAAGATCTATTTTTATAGATCATAAATTAGAAAGCTTATTACAATCTGTTACTCGCAGCATATTTTAAAATAATTTTTTATGATTTCAAAAAATGTATTAAAATCATCTCCGACAAAACTATGCCCATTTCTAAAATAAAAAAAAAATCATGTTAGAGTTATTCCCCCTGATTGACTGAAATTCTCTTTTTGATCTGAATGCACTTATTAAATTCTCATTATTGTCGCACTGTCAAAACTTGTCTTCCAATTTTGTTTTTTTTTTTTTTTTTTTTTACATATAATCAATTTCTTTTTCAGTGAGAGACGTACTGCAAATATTATTATTATTTTTTTAATTCAAATTTAGGGACAGAAACAACAAAAAAGGGTTCGTTGTAAAAAAAATTCTCAGAAAAATATTTTATAACTAAAAAAAATAGCTGTTTAAAATGCTTGTTTTTGTCATATGAAAGACATGTGGCAAAAAAAACAAAAAAAAAGTCATCTGTTCAGTGTTGTCATCACCCAGGTCAGTAGGTGTTAAAAAAACAAACTTTTACTATGGCAAACCTGAACTGACTTTAAGTTTAGTGAGGCTAGGAACCCTCAAAAAACAGCTGTGCTGAAATAAAACTTTAAAAAAAAAAAAATGAACATAAAATTTTATGTGTAAATAACAATATTGTTACAAAATTTTTGTCTTAGAAAATTTGAACTATAAATGTATTTTTTCGTAATTTAAATGTTACTTTTATTCAAGAATTCTCCCTCAAACATAAAATAAAAAATAAAAATTGGAAGTATATATATATATATATATATATATATTAGTTCACTTAAAGCTAGAACGATTTATATTACTTTTGCCCTACTATCCGATAAATTCCCCTGATGTAAGTTGTTGACAGATTGACGTACAACAGTTAACACCCCTCAATCAGGCCCAAAAAAACAAGCACCATGGTTGGAAATGTCCTAACAAATTTTCTGATTAAAAAGTAAGTAATGTTTCTTTCAAATTACATTAAGTATACTTTACTTTAAATTTACTAATTTTCCTAAAATAACTTTTGAAAAAAGTATAATTGACTTTTTACAACATTTTTAAATGGGAAACTTTACTTTTGTTTATAAAACTGTCAATAATGATTTTTATGTCATTTCTTATGAGTCAAAAACAAACAAGATTTTTAGCTAAAATTTTGGACCTGCTAGAAAGGATTAAAAAAAATTTAGAAAATACTTAAAAAATACTTTGGTCTTTCCTCTTAATAATGACATAAACATCTAGATATTACAAAGTTTGTTTTTTTTTAATCAAGTTTGGGGCCTTTTTTTTCATCAGGGTTTGCGTTTTTTAGCAAAATGGTGCCCATCCCTAACTTTACTTGAAAGTTTAATGATTAAATTTATTATTCTCATTAAGTAAAGTATTCTGGTGTATTTCAGATAGAAATTATATAGATTGGGATGTCAAATTTAATTTTGATTTCTTAAAAATTTTTTAAAAGCAGCCATTTTCTTAATTTTAAGAAATTTGTAAACATAACAAGTTTTTCTATCTTAAAATTCATTCAAAAAATAAATACTTATTTCTGACACATTATTTTAGTAAAATTAGAATATTTAAAGTTAAATTAATCTGATTTGAAATAAATATTACTTACTTATAACATAAAAAAATAATATACAGGCAATTATCAACGATTGGTCCTGTTTATCTGATCCATCATTTGATGGATTGCTGATAGACTAAGTGATAACTGCTACTATGGATGACCCCAATTGTCAGAAATCTAAATGAACTCATATTTTTGGTTTTTAACTACCTAGTAATTTTTACAAATAAACATATTTTCCACAATTATTTGATATTATTTTTACTTTTATTTACCTTTCGAAGATGCAAAAATAAAAAAATTTAAAATACTGTAAAATTTTTTTCAATTAATTTTATAATTTAATAACAAATGAAATACCTTGATTACTCAATTGAAGTATGTCCCACACTAATGTAAATACATGAAATAAAAATATTTAGCGAAATAGTAATTGAAAAAAGTAAAACTTAGTTTAAGCTTTAAACTTTAAAGCTGGATAGAAATTTCGAAAACCTGTTGAAACGTAACTGAAGGCACAAAACTTTTAGATCATAATAATGGCAATTTCAGTCTACCGTACATGAAAATAATGAATGTAAGTAAAAAAAAATAATACAAAAAAAAAATTATATTTTAAAAAAATAGCATAACTAAGTTGTTTAATGTTTTCAATTTTGGATTTGTAAATTTTGTTTCCACTTAATAACTATATCACATCCAGGAAATAGCCCAATACAGAATTTTACACAATTTTTAACTCTTATAAATTATTATAATTAAAATTTTTTAAAAAATGAAAAAATTCTTCTAAAACTTCATTATTCATCAGAAAAATTTTATTTCATCAGACAATAATGTCCTTAATATTACTTATTTACAAAAGCAATTAAAAGCTTTTTTAATTAAGTAATGTCATAGTTTTAGTGGATTCATTATTTTTCAATTCAGAGCAGATTTTCAGTTAGCTCAAATTTGAAAAAAAAAAGTCGGTGATTTACAATCTCCAAAGACTCCTACTTTTAACAAAAAGAAAAATTTCAGGAAATATAAAGGTTTTGTATGAAATTTCATGAAATTAAGTTGAGGTGGGGTAACATGCTTAAAAAAAAAAAAAAAAAAAAAAAATACCAAAATTTTCTTAAAAAAAAAAACTCATAAATAATTTCATTCATTTGTGAATAAGTCCTGAAAATTTCATTAAAATTGGACAATTACTTGATTTTTACAAGAATTTCCAAATCAATGTGTTTGCAACAGAAAAAAGCAGAAAAAAAAAACGATGTTATTTTCATGTCACCACGACGACCTAAACAAAAGAATAGTTCAACCAAAATTTCAAACGTGTTAGAAAGGATTAAAAAATTTAAAAATAAGAATTAAAAATACTTTGGTCTTTCATCTTAATATTTTAATGACATAAACATTTTGACGATAAAACTTTATTTTTGTTAAGTTTGTTGCATTTTCCTACGAAAAACTGGAGGATCCTATTTTAGTTTCACATTGAAGAAGCCACAAATTTCTTCATCACTTGACCTTTCGTCAGATCCTCAGTTTTTTAGTATTGTGCTAACTAATTTAATTTTAAATTTGCTAATGAATAATATTTTTAGAAATATCTTTTTATTCCATTCTAAGAACACATTTGAAATTTTGGTTGAAAATCCTTTTCTTTTAGGTCAAAGGTAGCATTAGTTTTTTTAGCGCTTTTTTCATTTGAAAAGCATTAATTTGGAAATTCTTACAAAAATCAAATAATTATCAGATTTTAATGAAACTTTCAGAACTTACTAAAAAATGAATAAAATTGTTTCAGAAATGTTTGCTTATTAGAAAGTAATGATAAAAATATTTTTTTTAAATTTGTTAGCGCCTACCCCCGGCACCCCCACACACACACTTATTTAATTTTAGGAAAACTTTGAACACTTGAAATGGTGATTATATTTTTTCTTTAATTAATTTAATCTTATATATATATATATATATATATATATATCTCCAAAAATTCAGTATACCTAAGATTTAAATGTATTTTTCGTAAAGGAAAGATACTTTTCGAAGCTTTCCAGCTGCTTCAATTGAAAGCTAAAGGATTAAATTTTCTAATTCCAGAAAAAAAAAGAATACTGTGGAGTATTTCAAATAGAAATTTTGAATGATTTTTAGTCAATGCTTCTGAAAAAACAATCGAAACAGCCATTTTTCAGTTTGAAAATTCCCACTAAAATAAGATGTACATTTCTGAAACGTTGCTTTCATAAAATTAGCAAATTTAAAGTTAAATTAATCTGTTACAAACATTTCTTGACCTTGGGGTCTTGTTGTTTTCACATCTCCATCGATAATTTGATGGCTGAATGTAATGACAGGTTTAGGTGCATCAGAAGTGACATAACATTTATTTTTTGTTTCTTATAATAATTTAAAATACTATAAAAATTTCTTACATTATTGACTTACCTCTATCTCTTTCCTTATTTAATAGCTAAGATAATAACTAATTTTATTAATATTAAATTTCCTTACTCAACACCGAAAGTAACATCTTTTTCAGTTTATTGTCAAGACACTTTTCTTGAAAATGGCTACATTGACACATCAGTCCAGAAGGGCAGGGTCGTCGGTATGCCAGGTTGCTTTGAGCATACAGGAGTCCTGACACAGCTCCTGAGAGAGGCGAAGGAAAGCAAAGAGGACCTGACTGTATTGTGGTTGAATCTCGCTAACACCTATGGGTCCATGCCACACAAACTGGTGAAAGAAGCCGTAAATAGACATCATGTACCTCCATCAGTATGCGAACTCATTGTGGATTACTATAATAATTTCTGGCTGAGAGCATGTTCAAGTACAGCAACATCAGAATGGCAGATCCTGGAAAAGGGTATCATCACAGGTTGCACGATGTTGGCTGTCCTATTTTCATTGGCCATGAACATGCTTGTAAAAGCAGCCGAGCTGGAATGCCAAGGCAATGTGTCTAGATCAGGAGTCTGCCAAGCACTGATAAGGGCTTACTTGGACAGTTTAACCATGACAACGGCATCTGTCATGGGAGGTAGGCAGCTCTTAAAGGGTCTCAAGGAAAATATGACTTGGACCAGAATGTATTTTAAGCCAGCAAAATCCAGGTCATTAGTATTGAAGAAAGGCAAGGTCATGGAGAAAGTCCAGTTTACAGTCACAGGAGAAACAATTCCTGCTTCGCATCTTCCTGAGTACCCAGTCAAAGACAACCCACATGACTATCCATGGGAACAGCAAAAATCTAAAAATAGGTTTCAGTTTCCTGTCTGACCAGTGACAGATGAACATTGCCAAGTGAATTGTCCCAATTTCAAATGCACTGACCATCAATATAAAGAAGACAGCAAAGTCTGTCGAATAAAGAATGAAAGAATAGCTATCAAAGCAGTCTTTTCCTGATCCTTTTTGCTAAGTGCTACCTGCCAATATCCTGACCTCAAATCCAAGGTGGAAAAACATTTAGACTTCCTTAAAAGAGCTAAAATATCATCAATCAAGGGGAGGGGCACTGCCAGCCTGTTTTGTAATGGCATTTAATTGATGAAAATCCACACAAAACCTATACCCTCCATCTTTCTTTTCAACAATCACTATTGGAAAACTGGCAGATTTGGATCTTTCGATTATCCCTGATTCCATCATTTCATTCACTGCATCCTCTACTAATTTTCTTTTGTGGATTGGGGTCCTATACGGTCTTAACTTAATAGGTGGGTGATTACCAGTGTCTATCTTCATTTCAACTGTCTCCGTCTGTCCCAGTTCCTTATCATTACTGTTCAACAACCCCCTCAATTTCCTCCTATAATGCTCAGGAGCTGTTATATCTTCATCCCTTATTTCATTGCTACCTGTCTTATTCCCAGGCCTATTCTGATTCCATACTCTCACCTGTTTGACTTCTCTCACTAAGCACACCTGTGCCAGCTCCTCTCCCTGCTTTATTTTAATAGTTTTATTGGCAGTATTAGTTAACAGTAAGGGAACGGTCCCCAACCTCTTCATCAACGAATCACACACGGTTATTTCCCCTTCACTATTATCATACCTATCAGTAGGGACCACTTGGTACAGGTCACTGTTCAGCACTCCTTCTGTTATGATCTTGCCCTTCCCAGATACAGTAGTCCTAGGGGGAAGCTTTATATTTATCTGGGCCACCACTGGCAATTGTTCATAATTATTCTCTCCCAACAGTATCCCTACCCCATCCAATGTCAGGGTGGCAGAGTCGAAACGGATCTGTGCCTTATTCTGCCTAAGCCAATCACTCTCCAAAATTAATTCACCACACAAGCCAGGTGCCACATAGACCTTAAGTTTACCTCTGGTTCTTGCCAACTGGAAAGGTAGCCACGTCATACCCTCTATCATCATCCTGCTACTATCAGCCTGACTTATTAGTAGATCGATGGGACTAAGCTTCATTTTCAGTCCCAACTGTCTAAAAACCTTGGAGCTAACTAGTGACACTGAAGGTCTAGTATTGACAAGGGCCTTCACCTTCTTGTCTCCCAGCAACACATTACAGGTGAAGTCTGGCCCTTCCTTCAGCAAACGGTCTACCTTTGCCTTTCTCCTTCCCGTATGTTCTCTACCTTCCTCCCGCTTTCTTGACAACTGAGACGTGGGAGTTGGTGACAGGAGTTCACCTTTTTCTAGGGGCACTCCTGGGTCGGGTAGAGCTCAGATGACTCTCTTTTCTCGGACTAGCAACCCATTTCTCCCCTCTTCCGTTCGGTGTGGTCCATCTTTCTCCTGCGAGTGCTGTCCACACATCATGTCCAGCATCTCAGAGATCTTACTTGCACTGGGGCCACCCTGCCATCGGCGTTTCCCAGATCCTTTTCCTTCTCGGTAGGGGGCACCAGCCTGTTAACTTCCTTTATCCCCAGTTTACGGTTTCCCTCTGCCATACACCACTGAGCCTTATGCCTGAACTCGCCACAAGTCATGCAGTCTGGCCCCAAAGACCTTGGGTTGCCTCCATAGTTTGTCGGACAGTTACGGGCCCAATGCCCACCATACTTGCAAGTGCAGCGCACCATCTCATATCAGCCAGGTGTGGGCTTGTGAAACCCATAACGCAGATCCCAGGCTCTCCTATTTGGAACTGCCTCAGCCTTCCAGTCCTCTTCCACCTCTTCTTTTGGATCCCGTATCTGGATCCACTCCCAGTCCTTCTTTTTTATCACTACTTTGCCCTCCCCCCGATTGTTCCTACCCACCCCTCTTATTCTATCCAAGAGTCGTCCCACCTCCAAGCTGCCTCTATCATCCCTCAGCCCCTGTCACTCAGCGCGTCCACATACACATTGGCCAACAAGGCCTAAATAGGACCACTGTCCCGAGTCACCAACTCCAGCGAAGCTAACGCTGCTAGCCCTGTGATTCTTTCCCCTAATTCCTCATTAGGCTCTCTTTCTTGTTGGTGCAGCCAGAATAAATTCCCACTGCCTCAATGGCCAGATGCTCACTTAGTATTGCCGCACCAGAGCAGATTTAAGCTCTATCCACATCAAGGACGTGTTTTCTTTGTATCCCCCCACCCCATGAACTTGGACACCTGCCCTGCTGTGGTGTTGTAAGCTAGGAGCACCATTTCTTGGTCTGAGAGGCCATAGATCACCTGCTTCTTCTGAATTGACAGAATCCATTCATGCAGGTCTGCAGGGTTTCCTTTATAAGTTGGTAGATTCATGCTACCTATCAGCCTCCTGAAACCCATTAATATTTCAGAGACTTCTACATCTCCAAGGTCATTTGTGATGTCTGATCCTGCTATGCTCATCTTAGTGTCTTGTCAACTACCACTTTCCCACGAAAAGAGACCAACAGAACAAAAGGAAAAAATTCTTAACACGGTGGTGGCGCTTCAACTGCATACAAAGTCAAAACAAGATCAACAATATTACTGGCAGATCTAAGTGCAATGAGCAAACATAGGAAACCAAAAATGACTGACCTGAGGTCCACCGCCTCCGTGTTTTGTTTCTTTTTCCTCCTCCTTTTGCTTTCTTCTCTTTTCCTCCTTATGTTTCCTTCAGGCCAATATAGTCCAAAGACTAGAGTCCTTTCTGGTCTTACTTGGTCCCTACTGGTCAAAACAAATGCAACCTTCTCTCCTCTTTCAGACGGCCGTAGCAATTCCCACATGTCTATCCTGGTCACACAGTCTAACACTTTCACCCGAGCCCCTCAACCTCTGGCGTCTTACTCTCTTGTTTGAGGTGTCTGCTCAGTCCTAACCGAACTTAAGGGAGTTGCCATAGGTCCCCTGAGCATCTGTAGATTATTCGACCAGTCCACTGGTTTAATCCTCCTTCCTGCTCACATTGTGATTTGTTTGATCCAGAAAGCAGATGTGATGTCAGTCCATTCACGGTCAACTGAAGATGTAGACACGGCTGGGGAGTCTGTGCTAAGAAATTTATAATGCAGCAAAAAAAAAAATTAATATCTGCAGAAAGCCAGGAAAACAACTATTCAATGGTTGAATTGTTAATGTCTTTTGTATAACAGAAAAAAATAGTATAGAAAAGAAACGGGTCACAGAAAAGTATTTAAAATAAAAACTCATACACTAGATTCTAGACAGAGAGTATATGTGATTAACTTGTTGTTAAATCATCTCAGAATGATATATGACTCTTGTGATGGAGGGATAAAGATTTCTGTGTGGGGCTTAAAGTTATATTGGCATTCCTCCTCCTAATGCTTGCCCGGGCCAATTATCTCTTCGAGAATTTTCTCATATCTGCCTTTTTCAGCATAACTACACGTTAATATAGATAAACCCAGATGTTTATAACTGATCCTCAACCCTACTACTTCACACGCAATTATCACAGTGTTCTGGCTACTTCAACCAAAATCATGTGAATTCCAAAGTTCCTTCTAGCTTACTCAGCTCTATTTCAATTTTTAATCAATAAAAATTATTTTGACCATTTCCTTGTCTACTGATGACCCAGATTCAATGGGTACAACTTCTGCCCTAGATCAGATTTCCCCATCAGTAAACAAAATGCTCTGATTTAATTACACTATTCAAATCTACTCCAATTTCACTAAAATAGAAATATACATGTGTGTGTGTGTGTGTTTTCCAGACTCTCTCTCTCTCTGTCACATACATATATAAAAGTATGTCAAGTTTTTGTATACAAGTGGCAAATTTCTGTCCAAAGCTGAGTTCTTCCAATTGTGTGTCAGACGGTTGGAATTTGGATAAGTTTCGTATTAGGTCTTTTCTGTCGATATTGGATCGTTGGCTGTTGTTAAGGAGTTAAATGATTTTGTTCTGATATTCTTGTTATTATTATAGTTGGGAGATCTTTTTATTTCATTCGATTTGTGTTTTTGGAGGAAACTTCCTGTCATATTCCTTATGGTAAAGAATGGATTCTTTTTTGTTTTAATTCCTTATGTAATTCTAATATATATATATATATATATATATATATATATATATATATATATATATATATATATAAATGTACATGTGTGTGTGTATATATATATGTGTGTGTGTGTGTGTGTGTGTGTGTGTATATATATATATATGTGTGTGTATATATATATATGTATATAATCGTGTGTGCCTGTATATATGTATATAAACATGTGTATGTGTGTAAATATTTGTGGATATATACTTATACGTGTGTGTGTGTGTGTGTGTATATATATATATATTTTTTTATGCTGATATGTGTGTGTGTATATATATATATATATAGGTTTTTATGCTGATATGTGTGTGTGTGTATATATATATATAGGTTTTTATGCTGATATGTGTGTCTGTATATATATATATATATATATAGGTTTTTTGATGCTGATATGTGTGTATATATGTATATATATATATATATATATATATATATATATATATTGTAATTTATAATCATTTTAAGCTAAAACTTTTCAAAATTATTATTATGTCGGCTCTTAGGAAAATGCTGCTTTGGTTTTACCAGGTAGAATTACCAGCAAGAGATAATCAGTTACATTAGTCGAAGCTGTCATCTGAAAAAAAATTAAAAATGAACAAATATTTTTCAATATCCATGTTTGAATTGTTTCAGAATACGCAGTGTTCTGATTTCAATCGCATGCATTTCATAAGATATGACGTGATGATGAAGCAGTCTTCTGTCACTGCAAAAATTTTCATCTTCACTGGGGGCTGCTGCAACTTTAGAATAATGATTTATGTAACCCTCATAATACATTCTGCTTACATATATTATTCACTGCCTCTATTAATGTATCATCTATGCCTTTTTTTTTCCCAGATGTTTTGGTACCCAAACTGAAGTGAAACAATACACCTCTGGAATTTGTGCATCTGTATTTTCAAGGAAGTCAAAAATGGCCAATCTTATACATACAAGCATTGAAGAGAAACCATATTCTTGTAAAGTTTGTGAATCTGAATTTTCATGCAAATCTCATTTAGTGGTACATATGCGTACACACACTGGAGAGAAACCATATTCTTGTGACATTTGTGGATCTGCATTTTCACAGAAGTCAAATAAGGTCAGACATATGCGTACACACACTGGAGAGAAACCATATTCTTGTGAAGTATGTGAATCTGCATTTGCACATAAATCTCATTTAGTGACACATATGCGTACACACACTGGAGAGAAACCATATTCTTGTGACATTTGTGGATCTGCATTTTCAAGGAAGGCACATAAGGTCGAACATATGCGTACACACACTGGAGAAAAACCACATTCTTGTGACATTTGTGGATCTTCATTTACATCCAAACATTATTTAGTGATACATATGCGTACACACACTGGAGAGAAACCCTATACTTGTGACATTTGTGGATTTTCATTTTCAACTAAGTCAAATAAGGTCAGACATATGCGTATACACACTGGTGAGAAACCATATTCTTGTGACATTTGTGGATCTGCATTTTCAAGTAAGACAAATATGGTTGAACATAGGCGTAGACACATTGGAGAGAAACCACATTCTTGTGAAGTATGTGGATCAGCATTTACATCCAAATATTATTTAGTGATACATATGCGCACACACACTGGAGAGAAACCATATACTTGTGACATTTGTGGATTTTCATGTTCAACTAAGTCAAATAAAGTTCAACATATGCGTACACACAGAGGAGAGAAACCATATTCTTGTGACATATGTGGATCTGCATTTTCAAGGAAGGCATATAAGGTCGAACATATGCGTACACATACTGGAGAGAAACCATATTCTTGTGACATTTGTGCCTCTACATTTTCAACGAAGTCACTAAGGGACAATCATATGAATAAACACACCGGAGAGAAACCATATTCTTGTGACATTTGTGGATCTGCATTTTCGCAGAAGTCAAATCAGGTCAAACATATGCGTACACACACTGGAGAGAAACCGTATTCTTGTGACATTTGTGGATCTGCATTTTCAAGGAAGGCACATAAGGTCAAACATATGCGTACACACACTGGAGAGAAACCATATTCTTGTGACATTTGTGGATCTTCATTTTCAGTGAAGTCAGTAATGGTCCAACATATGTATACACACACTGGAGAGAAATCATATTCTTGTGGAGTATGTGAATCTGCATTTACGCGAAATTCTTATTTAGTGAGGCATATGCGTACACACACTGGAGAGAAACCCTATTCTTGTGACATTTGTGGATCTGAATTTTCACAGAAGTCAAATCAGGTCAAACATATGCATACACACACTGGAGATAAACCATATTCTTGTGAAGTATGTGAATCTGCATTTATACAGACATCTGAGTTAGTGATACATATGTACACACACACTGGAGAGAAACCATATTCTTGTGAAATATGTGAATCTGCATTTATACAGAAATGTGATTTAGTGAGGCATATGCGTACACACACAGGAGAGAAACCATATTCTTGTGACATTTGTGGATCTGCATTTTCACAGAAGTCACATAAGGTCAGAATATGTGCATACACACACTGAGAAAACCATTTTCTTGTGAAGTATGTGGATCTGCATTTGCATCAAAACCTTCTTTAGTGAGACATATGCAAACTCACACGGGAGAGAAACCTTATTCTTGTACAGTTTGAAGATCTTCATTTTCAACGGTCACTAATAGACACATATATGAATAAACATTGAGAGAAACCATATGCTTGTGACATTTGTGGATTTGCATGTTCATGCAAGTCAAATAAGGTTCAACATATCCATACACCCACTGGAGAGAAACCATATTCTTGTGATATTTGTGAATCTGCATTTTGTATAGATTGATAAGGTCAAACATGCATAGAACACTGGAGAG